ATTTGGGTCCGGTCTTTCCAAAAATTGTATTTCGGCACCCTTAAACACGCACTTTCTCGGCCGACTAATGATCATTAGCTAATCAAGATTGTTTGTTATGGTGTTCTAGTTATTTTTATATATATTTAAATCTATAAAAGGGATTTTATAAAAGGAAACTTCAAAAGTGCGGCTAATAATTCAAAATAAAGAATTAGACGCGGTCCGGATCGAATACCCGAAAGGTCCGGATTTGGACCGCGGTCCGCCAGTTGAGTAGACTTGATCTAGAGTCTAGACAAAAATAGGCGGATGTTTAGTTTGCACTTGGCACCAGGGAGCACCGGGCATCAGTCAATATGTACTGTTCTGAAATGAATACGAGTAATATCCGAAACTTTGTTATTATTCGAGGATTGCTGCGATACAATTTTTTGTTTAGTGATGATTAATATGTGACAAATTTACGGTCACTTCTTTATGTAACGATTCTTAAACTTGAAATATGTGTTTTAAAATATTTATTTCCCCCAGATTGATTATTATTTCTTTTGAATAAAATTCAAGAAGCGGCTTTGAATTGAATTAAAAAAATTTTATTTCCTCGAAACATTGAAGAGAATTAATTCACAACAACATGCTAAGTGAGGCGGACACGTACAAAGTGAATATCAATGAGAAACAGCCCAGAGAAATAATGAAAGTTACATAAGACCCAATTTATATCAGTCTGTCTGAACAATAATGAGCACATATACAATGAGTAGAAACTTTCACGCTTCATTGGTTATTCCATTGTCTCGGTCAAATTTACGTTGTCCGGCTCCATGGTTCGTTGCATATGGAGAACGCATATCACTAGCTGCAAAAATCGCTTCGCTCCTGCCGAGCCGGGTGAGAAATTTGCTGTATTTAGGTTATTAATTCTTCGATTCATGTTCGGTTTTGTGTTTCTAGATAAGTATGATCTATGGGAGTGAAAGTACTGTAAGGCTATCTAAAAGTACTATTTTTTTTTTATCTGAGGATGATTGTATGAGTACCGTGCATACAGAAGCAAGACAATTAACAAAACTACCACTCCAATCTCAATGGAACTAGCAAAAAATTGGGTTTGATTTGATTTGTCCAGCCGTTTTCATCAGACTCAGATGAATAGTTGACACCACTTCAACCTGATCTGCATGCATCATATGAATTTGTTGAACAGCAACGTATCACACAGTCGCAATTCGATGTTACCACCATCCAGTCGTATTGTGATATACCTTCAACATCTACGACTAGTCTAGTCCATGTGAAGGCCATCTTGCAAGATCATAAGTCCTCAACATCAACATAATGAAGTTATATGAGCGAGTAGATACCATGGATAGTGGGTGAAATAAAAGTTCTCATTGGAATCATATCGGCCATGGGTCTAGTAAAAACGCCACTGCTCAAGAATAATTTGTCAAAAAGACCTAATATATACCTTTATATATCGTTTGTATTCAGGCCTGATGCCAAGAGATCTTTGTCGATGCTGACATTTCTTCATCTCAATGACGATACACAATAGGTGCCAAACTCTAGAATTCTAGATAAAGGAACATGCCCTTTTGAAGGCAGATTCAAATTCAGATCATATATGGCATGCTGAAGAAGCCCAAACAACGGGGAATCAAAATATGGGAATTGAGTGAATCTCAATATTGTGTAGGGTACAAAATAGCGAATGACAGACTGGTAAAGTCAGCGATCAGTCCGACACCACACATGCGGTTGAGATGCACCTCCTGAGAAATTATTTGAGGGGTTGGACATGAGGTGTTCAGTAATCGCTATTATACCTCAACCAAACTATTTACTGAGTTGTATACAGAAAAAACTATCGCATATGCCGAATTAATAGAGGTGGACTTCAAAGAAGTACTATTCAGCAACAACTTAAAAAAGGAGAGATAATGTCGCCAGAAAAGACCCACTGCTTTTGTTGAAGGACAAACGTGATGTTCTCATGCTGCCTAAAGAACACGTGGATGACTCGAGACCGTTCAAGTTCGTGGGCCAGGTTGGTTCAAAAATAACGTGAAGTCTGTCGTTGTTCAGGAATACAATGATAATATGGCAGGCATCGACAAATCTGACAAGAAATTGTCGTACTACAAGCTTTGGAAAAAAAAATGGTGGAAGAAACTTTTTTCTCCTTTCAATCTTACTATTGTAAACTCCTATAAATTGTACACTATGGCTGCTCAAACTAACAATGACTTCAATCTGCGCGAATATGTTGAGGAATTGGTGTACAAGCTCACTTGTGAAACACGTTCAGTGACTCTGGGCCAAAACCATTAAGTTGCGACCAACACCAGCCTGTCTGGACACCACTGTCCAAAATCAAATGCTGCTTCTCTTACAAGACAACGCATGTACTAAAAAACTGCCATGTATTTAGCAAGAAAGATTGGTCAAAGCAAAAAGAGGAAGGCGCTGTTCCCAGCCAAAAATTAGAAATTGGACCCAGTATCATTGCCCCCAGTACGACAAATAAGAAAGCTGATTTTCTTCCAGCTTGTTTGCTGCATTATGTTTTGGTTTTATGTTTTATATGAGTGTAGTTTATTTTTGCATTCTGCTTTTCGCCATATTCAAAACATCCACTATACTGCTTGTACTCTAATGCTGTGTTAGCACATGTTTGCGTGAAAACTCTGCTTGAAACACACTTGTCTTTAATTATTCGGAGCAGGAGGAAGGTAGTATGATCGGAGGAATTTCGTTCGATCTTAGGGAAGGCAGCACAGCTCAATTGGTAGTTAGGCTTTACAGCATTAGGCCTCGAAATTGTTGTTTATTACGCCACAACGCACATAAATAACATGTCTGCAGCGCTAGCATCAAAAGCATCTCTACACTCCAATGTTGGGCAGTCGACCTAATATCTAACAAATATTAGAAGATAGGTACGGTGTGTGGATTTTTACGAAAAGCATTAGTAATGATTTTGAATTGAACGAATATTCACAACTCTAAAACGTCTTTTCACCCTGGCTGGTCTCCACCTGGCGGAAGATTGTTGTAGCATTTCAGCAAAAATATGCGTCAGTACCAGTGTAACTTGGGGTTGTCAGTTTCAATCTTCGCAAAAAAGCTTTTGTCTCAATTTTAAAATGAACAGTTCAGGTATAACCCAGTACCAAAATTGTGATTTTTTCCACGGTAATCTACGAAATTGCCATTACATGCCTGATAGAAAATTGTGTGGAATACCTAACTAATCACGGTATATGTAAAAGACCGTACAGCTTCAAAAATGAAGGCTCAATAAAATCATATACCTCAGACCTATTTTTTTTTCTCCGGGCGGCTTTAGGATCAGCAGCGCTCGATGCTGCATTGGCATTTCATCGGTCGCCACAAGAAGTAAAATGGGGAGATCAGATGAGAAAACCATACCGTTATGTTCAAAATGCTACGCCTTTGAATTCCAGAGTGCTCGGTTAATACACTCCGACTTTTTACTCCAGTCCAGTGGTTCTTAAACTTTTTGAGCCGCGCCCCCCCCCTTTGAAAAATTTTACAAACTTTGCCCCCCCCCCCCCCTATTTTTGCTTTGAAAAAATGCTTTTGTGATGACCAGGTTGCTATATATTAAGATGGCGCTATAGAAGTGTTGGTCTCATAGCGTCATTGCTCAAATATTTAGGCATAAAACGCTGCGAAGTACAACTTCGCCATTCACTGTTGTATGTATAAAGCCATACTCTAATAGTGGTTATCATACTATACATTCTCCTTTTTCCGCTCAGTTTGCAATACCTGACAAAGTCAAACTAATTATTAAGTAAAACTAAACAAGCAATAAACCTATGCTTTAATGTATTTTCTGCTTAAACGTTTACATAAGACACGTAAAATTTCCATCAGTTTGATTGTGAGTTTATTGTGCGTTATGAATTTATGTAAATTTAAAAGCAGTTCATTTTTTAATAGTTATTATGCATGTGGACGTTTCCCCGGCCCTTGACCGCTGAAAAATAAAGTCGCTAAGGCGTTTGCGATTGCATTTTATTTAAATCTCCATTACTTACGCCAGCGCGGCGTGTTATTTAAGCCCTAAAAATCTTAATTTCGGTGTTTATTCTCCCTAAATTTCTCTCGACGTATTCCTGTGCCGCAAAGACGATTATAATTACTTTTTTTGTTCTCGAATGGAACCATGACACCTCTGAGGAAAACGAGTTAGTTTTTATTATATAATCATCAGCGACGAGATGCTAAAGATAGAATAAAGAAGTGAATCCGTAACTAAAAATGTCTATATTGTAAAAGTGGCATTATAAAAATACTAGAAATAAAACGGAAAACGCCATGAGTTTTGTTTTGGGGTGGACCGCGGCAGATTAAAAACACTTTCTTTGACATTGAAAATCTCCTAAATTCCTTGTGCTTGCGGCACACCAGTAGTGTTCTAAAACTACAGACTTGAAATAAATTTTACTCCATAGGATCGCAGACTTAGGAATATCTGTATGGCGATAGAGCGGAGTAAGAGTTGCAGGGACAGTTCATATTGGTGAAATTGGCAAGAATACAAATTAAAACAAAATGTAATCGACATTTTTATGGTTGCGGATTACCGTGTTATTTTGGAGTAGTGGTGCTTTTATCTTATCGACGCAATCGCAGATTTAATTTATCAAAATTAAATGGATAAAGCAACCATTTTAAATAAGTATATCGATCATGGATTGAATATTTTATTCAACAAAAAAACCATTACATATCCGTTGAAAAAGTCGGCTCTTTTAACGACTGGCGTAATCTCGATGACTGATTCAGAAGCCGTACCGCGGGGATTTCGTGTCGATGAATATGTATTTTCCATCTACTAATATACTTTGTATGTATTTTAATTTTACTAAATTAAATATATTTTTGGGGATATTATACCAGATCTTTTTAATGACGACAACGAATTCGCATGAGTGCAATATATATAAAAACTAAATATAATCGGGCAGTTGATCACACTTTATTATGTCCGCGGATTGGCGTGGTATTTTAGATAGGTGATGAGTTTATTTTGTCGTGAGTCGCCGCAACCGCGAGTTACCTCGAACACAAATGAATTACATGAATTACCGTTACATGTTAATTTCCGATTCCATCTTGTGACCTCTCACATATCTGTTATAACATTCATGCTTCGATGAAATGGTCAGTTTTAGCTGTACCTGTTGATTGTTGAACATGTGAAATGAAATAAGTTGAACTCAAAAATGAGTCGTGGTTTGTAAGATGTTAACTAATATTTCTTGCGCTTCTACATTTACAAGGAAATACTAAAAAGCAAAATTGTATTATTTACATCATTTTAGAACAGAAATCACCATTCTATACTTATGCATGTGTATCATCGCCAAAACCCATATATATACTTATATAATATCCATTATTTTCGACAAGGGAAACAAAATAGAATGAATACACAATATACCAAACTGAGTACAGAAAATTTTTTATAAGCTCATGCTAGAACAAATGTTCCGAAAACGTGGATGAATAAGTGGATAGAACACGTATGTGGTGATTTTTGGCGTTCGCATCTCACCAGTCCTGTTGATAGTAATTCTAAAATAGAGAAATTGAATGAATGTTCTGAAATCCAGGATTTTCCACGGGAATGGGACCACACACATTTGTATTTCCGATGAGAAAGTAGCAATATTATAATAACTTGGTTACGTCAGAGGTAACCCTAGTCTTTATAATTTATTTTACTTCTTAAATGTTTTTTACTCTCAATTTATCTTCATATATTATCTATTATTGATTTTGTGGTGGAACACCGGCAGGGTTGTCTACGGAATTGGGATTCCCATGGAAATCCCAAGACTTTATTCATGGGAATGGGATTCCCATTGGAATTCCATGAGACACAAATTATGATTTTGGCAGTGATTCAATACTAGATTTATATCAATTTATCCGAATTAGCAACTGTTGTGTTCGACATGAAACGATTATTAATGGAGAAATATTTAAGTGTGTGGTACAAACGTAGAATTTGATATAGGGGTAAATCTACCCTTTTTTTACTTCACTTTATAAAAAATTGCACATTCGAGTAAAGTCAAACAAACATAATCTAAACTTACATCGCAAGGAGGTGGTACCAGGAATCGCCAGTTGCATGTTTGTTTGGATTCATCAAACAAAAGATTAATCGGGCATCTCATGACGAATGGTTTCTCGAATCCTTGCAGGCAAACGTAGTATGATTCACAGTCCCAGTTATACAAACGTCCAAATTGTATGCCCTGAGAAACGCAATAATTGATTTGTAGTTGGTTGCATTATATGTATATATATAACAAAATAAATTCAGCCATATCAACATTCGCTTTTTCAGCTGTCCGTTTCATTGCATTGATTGTAATTGAATGAAACTACTTCATGTATATTTGTGATTTTCCCTCACGATATCAATTCTCAATGTTGAAAATTCAAATATGGTTTTAAAACCATATTGGACGTAGATCTAATCTTAGCTTATAAATTGAATCAGTAAGCAGGACGCAATACGGCAATAAACCCAACTCTCTCTTTATTGGTCAACGACCTGAACCCATAACAACCTCATAGTAACGATTTCGCGCTTATCTGGAAACTGCTCTTGCTGCTGTTTTTGGTTAATCTCTGAGTATTTGGTATTTTTTTATTGCACGAGTTACAGCGATAGCAGCTTGCAATAATGTCAAATTCCCCAAGCCGAATAACGTACCGGCAATTGACCCAAATGCATAACTTCGGATAAATTACATAGTCAACAAAAAACAAAAATAAAAGGATAAAAAAATAAAAATCGTTCCCACACACTATTAATAATTTGATAACGGTTGCCAAATTAAATATAGATAGATGTTAACAAGAATGAACAATAAAGAAAAATATTTATTAATAAGGATATCTTCTCCAAGCTAAAGTCAAATACCAAATTGGCCAACCAAAGTTGGTTATATGAAGAAAGTGTCGGCTAGCCAGTGCTTCTTAACCCCCCTTACAGTACTTTATACGTTATCATCGCCCCCTAGCATTACAACAAGACATTTAGTCGGGTACAATCTCAAATCATCATCATCATCATCATCATTCTTTGATTTGATGAACTCTTTTCTACCAAATAAGATGTTAGAAACGAAAGAATCAACAGTTTTACCTCGTCAAAAAGGCCAGATAACTTCACCTTACTACATTTCCAAATTTTATTTTATATTTAAATTCAGAAACTGAAATTTCGTACGAGATGGTCCTCGCTCGTAATTATACCATTCGTTGCTGATTTTTTTTTTAGCAGTGATGATTATTCTGATGCGCAAAATAGTCCGTCCTTGGCCGATGCGAATTGTCGTATTAATTTAAATATTTTCAACTCGCTGTTACGCCTACTCACAGTAAAATAAATGTATTATTGCTCCAAAATATTGCAATCTGCATACACAAAAATATATGATATATTTCCTGAATACACCGTAATTAGAATTGATTCGCATTTTTGCGATCTTGGAAATTTGTTAAATTTGAGCCGCTCATGATATTTTCAAGATATCGCCGCTAGCAAAATCCCAAGGTCGCCGATATAATTTTACATTATAACATTAATTAGTTTTATATCATCATCACAATAAGGAAAGAAGACGTGTGAGACCCGGCTGTAATTTTTTAATGGATAATTTAATGGATTTTCACACTTAACGCACAGTCCTCTGGCACATGTCCAGGGAAATACTTGTGAGATAGAGAGAATTCGCGTAAATGTTTTTTACCGATATAATACCAATATTCACGGCCTGAATACCACACCATGCTGAAGAAAATATTCGGTGATTTGAACCATATTTGACTTTTTGAGAATGGGCAATCCGCCTCCCTGTCGCCTCCTTTGAATTTTTCGCCCCCTATTTATCTCTTTCACCCCCCGAGCATTTATATATATTTAGCCTGAGATAGAACAAATCCGATAAGACAGCTTAATAATATGGCGTAACACGGCCCCTTGTCCGGTTACCAGTCTATGTCGGATATGGGATTAGATCATCAGTTAGTCAGTTGTTTGTTTCAGGTGCATGGACTCGTGGTAGTGGAAGCCGTATCCGTTTCACGGCGATGCAAAGGGTATTGCGATGAAAAATACGAAAAAAAAAAAATGATTTGAAACAAGCCCTTGTTTTAAAACTGGCTGTGTTTTAGAATTGATGAAAACAAAACTCTGACCACAAGTGAGACATAAATGTGGTTGAACTTCTGTCGATTGTGCTATTGTTTATTACGTTGTTAATAGATTGGCGTGTGCGTAACAGATACTGACAAAACCTTTTGCATCGTTGAAGACGGTCGACCAATGCATTCTTATATTTGGTATGTATACAAATTAACCTCAGTGACCCAACGTAAGCAGCTGATATTCCAAATAATGCCGATTCGAACGGGACCATGACCAGAATTCTAAGCTGGAGATACCAGACGAGAACTCTGAGTGTCCCATAACAAGGTTCATTCGAACAAAGAAATCTTACTTTACACGGTTCAGTTGGAGGTTTGATGTTTCCTGTGTTCGATATTCGACTTGTTATTGTCTCTTTAGTGATAGATGATATAGTCGGAATAGCAGTAGGAAGCATTGTGGTTGATGTTGAACTAGTAGATCCTGTTTCAGTCGTTTGCTGTTAGAATAAAAAGTAACATGTAAACAATATTTAACCGTAGAAACACGTACAAAGGAAGAAAATTCAACCTTGTGTTAATATTTATTTCTTTTTGTCTGATTATGGAAATCAGATGTCTGTACAATAAAATCCCGTGGAACTTGCCTCGTTGTTTCCAGTTATCTTAACGTCGGCACAGCCATAAAATTGCTCTTGGTGTCCAAGTCCAAGTGCACATACACCTGGTGCATCACATCCCCATGAATTTCCTGCAATAACACATTGCTTGAATACAATTGGGAGAATTGCTAGAACATGATTAATATTTAATTCATGCATTACGTAATTCCAATACCTGATCCTATCATATATCAGAATGAAAGAGCATGTAAGCAAGATAGTAAAAAATCTAATCCAAATGTGTATTAATTTGAAAGCATGGAGTATACCCCAAAAGTAATACTGCCCATTTCCCTAATAGGAGATATAAAAGTCATTGTTTTTAATCACTTTTCCAGACCCATAATCATAACTTATCATCAGCTTGAAACATAGCTGTCAATGAGAATCTAAAATACAAATGTAAAACATCATCTGGCCGCCATATAAAGATACAGAAAGACGTTTCGACAAATAATGATTGCCTTTTACCAGTGTTGTATTTCCATTGCAATACACATTGCGTACATGTCAGCCCTTCAGGTAGTTTTACTGGAACGACATATTTTCCCGTTTTCGTAATGCCTGAGTATTTGAAACCCATATTGGTCTCCAGAAGGTGTCTAAAAGGCAACGTCGAGAACAAATTCACGACAAAGCAAATGAGGAACAATAACGTAATATCTAGTAATTATTTCACAGTGTGACACGAGACTGGATCTTGTCGACTTCTATTTGAGTGTTCAATTTGAGCCGATCAAACTCACACTTACGTTATATGTCGATTATGAAATATGCTGATAAGAATACACCCGGCGCTGGTTTTTGAGTTAGTTGATGGTATATTCAATGATCATTCTTTATACATAAAAGGTTTCAAAATCCCGCAAAAATAATTCATTTACCGATCTAAGCATTCCTGTGTTACAATCTCCTTCGGTTTGTTCCAGTCACATAGCCTAAACTCAAAATATCCTTTGTGTTGAGCTGTTATCTCCACGGTAACGTCTATCCATGAACCTTTGCAATAAGAGAAATGTGCATTAGCATGTAAAAAATAAACTAGAGGCAATACCAACAAATGTGAACATAAAGGTTGTAACAGCACCTTCACTATATTTTGACGATGTAAAGATATTCATTTGGACGAATAAACACACTAATATGAACATACCTGATTTATAAATTCTTGAAATAAGACCCAGACTGTACTTTCCTCCAGCTTCATTTTTTCGCGGTTGTATATCATGGATACTATCTCCACAGACACCGCATTTGCCACCTGCTTTCTTTTGCACCTGATCATAAAAAATAAAACGTTTCATTAAATTTATGAAATCAATAACTGACTCAAATGATAAGTGAAGCCAACAAGGAGGACGCTGTGTCGACTTTACTCAGTGTCCATATATGATTCGGTCATATTAAATGAAAATTCCCGACTTCAAAAGAGTTCATTTCGAATAGTCACCTGAGAACCCCCACAAAAAAGTGAAACGTCGTCGTAGTTTTTTGGAATCGTCACATCCGGGTATCTTCTTATCGTTTCCTCGTCACGCCACACTGTTGATCTGCTTGGCGGGTCACGCAAACGTCCATGTCCGTTGACAATAGCTCCAAATGTAACAACAAGCAACACTGTAAATACAGCAGCATCAGAAGCTGGCATAATTGAATTAAACCACTTTCAAATAGAGACAATCGGGATACGGTATATGAACGAATATCTTTCAAGCTTATACTCAAATTCTTCAAATTTTTTAAATGTGACTTCGATAATCGTTTTTATTTGAATTATTTACATTCAATTAAAGCCAATTATAAGATTCTAATGTATACTCAAACTTGCACCTGTTATTTTGCAATTCATCACGTCGAAGAACGCTTTTGGTAATTTCAGAGTAACGGTTTTATACTTTTTTGTTATTAAACGTCCGTTTCACTAGCACTTTATGCCGAAATTGTAACTAAAGCTGAAAACAAGAAGTCTTGGTTATCTATTTTCAAAGTATTCTGCAGTGAATTCAACACAGCCAACACGGATCTGACGCATCTGTGAATCAGCGCGCTGAACTAAATGTGGTAGAAAAACCTGATGCTCCGTTATCCAATAAAATGGGCGAACACCTACGGAAAAACCCTCGGAGTTTGCAAAATGAGCATTCGATTTGAGTTTAACCGAAATGATCACACTCGCACAATCACACCTAAACACTCAATAAGTACAAAATTCTCACACCATCGTAATAAGTCTCAATGAATCGAAAAGAATGTTTGTGACCCGTTTTTATTTACGGCAGCTTACGCGATCTTAAGTTTTGTATGACTCCCTGGTAAAGCTGTGCGGTCAATGGACCGAATGAGGCACTTCCACAAAGAGACCATCTTTCTGCCGTGCTTGGCTGACAGCGGTTTGTTCATAAATATGTTTAGCGACATTTACATTTGCGTGAGAACCATTTTGCGCTCTACTGAAAACGATAAATTGTGCATACGATTACATAACATTCGATATTTTACTTAAACTTCTTATTTTAACATGTATCAAGTTACACGTTGTGAGGGCGTTAAATTTATGTTTTTAGTCAAAACAGAACACCTGATGGCCAATGTGTCACCAGACCATGGCTAACACGACAAACGAAGAAATTGGAAAAATCGAGACAAACCGAAGTATTAAGCGAAATTACATAGTCGCAAGACGGAATGCGATCAGCATCAGTAATTTTTTAAAAGTCATTCGGTCACTGAAAACATGGTTTCACACAACCTGAATTTTCCCAATTAACCGTAAGGTTTCCACGAATATTCACGTCTTATTTTTCAGCAATTGAAAAAAATAGGTGTTTTTTAGGTGTTAGGAATACTGTAGGTATTCGATATAATCTGATACGAAATTTCTTAGAGTTTCTTCGTTCGTGAATAAAACTTGGCAAACAGAAGATTCATTTTAGTATAATACGCAAACAATTGAAAATTTATGTACGTATTTCGCAGAAAGTTCGATACGACAAAAAGTGGCATATATCGCATTGGGTATAGTACTACATAAGGCTTTTACATTATGCATTTCACTGCAGAAATCAAGATAATAATTTTATGGAAATGGAATTTCAATAAGATGATGTTTAGGTTCGGCAGCCTTATTTCGGGATACGTTACCGACTCATAAAAAGTTTCACAATTGCACAGTGAAGTATTTTGAAAATAAAATATTCCGATGGTATTGTAAGAATCCATTGTCTGAATTTGTCTCCATAAATTTGCATGTACGCCACATACATATTCAACTTTCAAGAACATGATATAAGGTGATTAATTGTCAGTTGCCTACTTAATATCTAATTTGAACCCAATTCTCAAGGTTTAAAAGTCATTATAGGGGCCTTTTTTTATTCGTAGCTATTCATAGATATAACGTGCATTTAAATTCAAACAGCAATGCAACGATGCAGTGTTTCACCTTTTAATGTCGTACTTTGCCCTGTTGGTGAGTAGCAGTCATGAACTGCTGGTATAGCTGTGGGGCGAGATATACGCCGCACAACTACGTCTTGCTTATGTTTTTCGTCGATATTTTTATGTTTATGGATGCCGTGTTACGCCGTACGATTCAGCTATCTTGGCCACTTGTCTATCATCCGTGGTATATTTTTTCGATCCCCTTTCCTCAATCGTTTTGAATTTGGTAAAGCCACCTTGTTCTATCTTGCGAAAACGTTCTTGCTTAACATGGTCGATAAGCATCATTTCCTGATCCTACGGTGATGTGCCCAATATTTCTCTGTGACGAGGAAGATATCAAATAGCTGTTGCGACCATGTAGCCATCCCTATTCCAGCTAGACCCGCGGCTACTTGTTTGTAAATAAAACATTTTGAGAATTGGTAACATTGCTGTCCATACTGGGTGAATGTGGGTATCAGGTAGTTTGGGGTAGCCAAATTCCAATAAAGGTCAATGTGACCACATAATATAAATTAATTATCTGCTGAACTCGAAATAGGAAAAAAAATTTGTTCTAATGACTCTTCGTCGACTTCAGCAACTGGTCAAGCTTTGTATATATACACTAAAATGTTCCCGGGACTCATAGCATGATTAAAACTATTTTGATAATATTACCACACACATGAATAAAACTTTTGAGGATGATGTGCCACTTGGAGCTAGTCCGTTTGCATGATGCAGTTGTTTTGCACTATTAGTGTAAATTCTACAATTTTTACATATGTTTTCTGATAATTTTCCTGATGTTGAATTTTCATAAACGTCACATTTTGTTTTAAAATGTTTTGCTGAATTGAAAAACAGTAACAACGCAATCTACATGTTTAAGAAGTTGGTGTACACTTTACATCATATTCAAAGTGTCGTATTATAACTTATTTCCTAATAATCACTCACAACTCGTATATGCTTTGCTGAAGTAACCGCGGACCCTCACAACTTTCAAACCAAAAATACAATAGAAGAACATAGCGTAGAGCTATTCGGACAACATACAAATTAGCTGTCACTTCTCGCGTACGCAACACAGATCGTTTACTGCCCATTTTCTTAGTGTGGAGGGTGTGCTGGCACATTGAAGCTTAATCATGCCATTTTGTACAATCGAAAATCTAACTTAAGATAGTCTTCGTCGTATTTTCGCTGTCTAGCCATTTTGCTGCTAATAGAATGAATGTGAAACAATATACAATCAAACAAGAGAGCGATGCACAAATATATGGACACGAAAGCCAAAACGAAGTAGTCACAAATCTTGTACAGTACCGGTAGTCTGACGGGATCGCTTAAACGCGGCCACGCAAACACTTCACGGTGCGAATTTTATCATATTGATTAAGCCATCACGCAAAAATTTAAAGTGAAAAACGAATTCCGTAGAATCCAAAGAAATTTTTGACATAAATGAAAGTAATAGCCTTCCAGCGACAACAACTGTTTTTAACCACTGGCGATTTCAAAGCAATGGACGTTTCCCCGACCCTTGAAAAATTCTCTCTATAACTAAATCATTGCAAAATTTTCAACGCCTATTTTTAGAATGGTTTGGAGAGTTGGCGCTTACAAACTGGCTCGCATGTTTAAAACTATAATTTTCATCCAAAACCATAAATCACGTGCCGCTTATAGGTACTAATAGCTAATTTTAAGTATATCGCAGCGTTTGCGTTACCAATTTATGATTATTATAACTAAACTAAAGGTTCTCTGAAGACATAATGACAACTAAGTTATTTGATTTACAACTACTTTTTGGAAATACAACTAAAAAATAACGAATAACACGCAAAACTACCAAAAAGAGGCAATGTTTACAACCATGCTTGAATATCTGTCTGAGCGGCGGCATAAATTCTAATTGTTGCGTATTTGTTAACTTATTGCTGATTTGTAATTGTTACGGAAATAAACAAGGAAATCGATGCTCGGGGAAACATCTTTGGATGAACTGCCGTCATCTGAGTTTAGACTTGCAATCAGTTCGAATCTAAATTTAGATAATGAAAGTCTTTTTCTCTCACTTTCAGGGATATGAAGCTTATAAAGAAGATAGGTATAGTATTCGTAATTGACACCTTCAAATGCCAAAAAAAGGGTTTCTTCCGCCATTTCAGAGATTTTCTTGCAAACATGTATTGGAGACATACTGATCGGACATGTCTACACCTTCCATGAATCTGTTGTATGATTCTATTAGAATCGGCTTGATTTGCGGTTCTGAACGTACTCGTATAATTTTTTCAATTGTTTCATCCCCTCTGTAATATTGCACTCACAGCATGCTTATCATACCAATTCTATAATACGATCTCCTTGCAACGAACGACACTGAATTGTTTCGATTTTCGTTAAATTATCGGTGTAACACCTTTTCTATTGACATCCAATGTCCCTGTGAGGGGTTATGTTCTTCTGGAAAACGGTTTGCCAGCTCCAGAAAATTATATAATCTGTCACAAAAAACATTATACTATTTGCTCAGATATGGTTCGAGTAGATGCACGAGTGTACTGGTAGTTGTACTCAGGTAAGGGTTGCATTTCATCCTTGCCGTAGTAAATCTTCTGGTTTGGCAAATAACCCGTACCAGGGTAAACAAGCTTTCTTGCAAGTACCCCACTTTATAGGTTTTCGGTGCATATTGGCGACGGGGGCACATTACTCAATCCGGGTTTGGATACACGGAAACAATCGAAAAGAACAGGGCCATTTACATCATCCTGTGTAACGTCTGACCAGTTTACAGCGGTCCCTTGATATTCCCTAGCGGACCCCAGTTTGAGAACCGCTGGCATGGATCAAAGAATGGTAGTTGGTCTTGTTTAGTTCCAACTGGTAGTTCTTCTAGAAGTGTTCTGTTTAATGCACCTCCTCAGGGTTTTATTCTTAATTAAACTATGACAGCTTTATTTATCAACTTTTCTCAACATTTGTACACATTGTATCCATTTTCTTGTCCAGATGACACGGTTTTGGTTTTCAACTTAATTGACAAAGAATGGTGGAATAGCGACGTTTGCCAATGGAAGATTCGTTTGGATTGGATCCTTTGACACTTTTGGTGTTTTTCTTTTAGTGTAATTCAAGACATTGTGATCTGTTATCATTGAGGTATGATAAATTTTATCTGGTATTCATTAAATCAAATGTTTGTTCATCGGTCTGAACAATCATCCGACTGAATTCCATTTAATGAAATTCTATAACCAGGGATGGCGAGCCTTTTTCAATGAATGGGTCAAAAATTATAATTTTATCGCGGAACAGAAGATAGTGGGTCACATATATTTAATCAATGTTTGTATCTATAAGAAACTTCTGGAACAAATTTTATAAACTTCTGCTGATGTAGTTTTGTGCTTTACTTATGCAGCACTTCTATCAGGGACTCTTTATGGATCTCGATTTTATGAAATCAGAGTATGAAAACACGCATATGAATTACCAAAAACGTTTAGGATGATGCGG